AACATACTTGTGCTGGTAGCTTTAGTGTGGTCTTGTTTGTGATCATTCGGGTAAATGCCCAAAAGTGGGATTGCTGGGTCATAGGGGAGCTCTAAGTAAAACAACAGAGGACAAGGATGTTTTTTGGAAGGCATTATTCAGCCCGCCTCGCACAGCTGCTTAACGCCCCCGGCCCCTCGGCCATTTCCAGCCATAGGTGAAGTCTTCTGCTACAACTGAGTGGTCATGCTTTTGACCAGCTGCCTTTGATCCCTGGAACCTGGACGGAGTCGCTAGCCACGTCAGTGACCTTTCTGAACTGCGAAGTGGGGGAGAGGAGGACAGGCCATTGTAGCCTTCTCCAGCAAGAAAGCAAATGTCTTCCAGGCAGGCTGCAGTGGGTGGTGGCTTATCTTGCACTCGGCACCCATGTGGGTGTTGCCAGCCTGAGGTGACAAGCAGCTGGGAAGGGGTGGGGAGCACGGGCAGTGAGCCCGCAGAGGCTCAGCCGAGACCGCAGGCAGCACTTACATGCTCACCGAGCTGCTATGTGTCTATCCCAGTCCTTGGAAAAGGTGCTTTTTGTTGCTGTATGGCACATGGTACAATTTAAACCTTATACTGTGTGTGTGCACATGTGAATGCATGCATGTGCATTGGTACTGGGGCTTGAACTCAGGGCCTCAAGCCTTTACATGGCATTTCTTGTTCAAGGCTAGTGCTCTACTGCTGGCTTCTTGGCTCCACTCTGGATTTTTGCTCCTTGACTGGAGATAAAAGTCTCCCAGACTTTCCTGCTCCAACTGGCTTGGAACTGTGAAGAGAGCCTCAGCGCTCTGCCTCCCAGTGCAAGGTTTAAACACTAGGTGGAGCCAGGCCTTTTCCAAGGAAACCATTGCAGCTCACTTCGTTATTCTGGGAAAGAGCACACGAAGGGGAGGCTGGTCAGTCAGAGGTGACTTATACCAGCGGTGTCCTCAAAAGCCATGCTTCCTGGGGTGTGGTGAGCAGCTGCCAGGGAAGCCCCTCACCAAATGACAGTGTGAGACCCGCCCCATCTACCAAGTGCAGGAAGTCCATCCCCACTCATGGCAGAAGGGGTCCCAGCCCTGAGTCTTGGGTCACCTAACTCCTGCCCCTGGGGCCCCGAGACATCACAGCCCCTGCTAGCTCATCACCTTCCTCTCCCTAGGGGGTGAGGCCCTGGAACACCTCGTTCTTGGCTTCTAGTAACAGAAAGCACCAGTAGAAAACCTACTATTTTGGAGACCAGGTTTTGTAGGCAGTCTAGAGTGGCCTTAAACTCAGGATGCTTCTGCTTGAGTCTGCTGAATGCTGGGACTGTGGTGCATCCCACCATGCCTGGCTGGAGGTGGGGATATGGTCAGTGTTGCTGCATATGGTAAAGCCTGCTTTCAGGAGTTCTGAACCCTGCTTCACAGGAACATGGTGCCTGGCTGGTGGGCAGGTGTGAGCCTTAGAATAATTTGGAACAACCCAGATAGTTCCCTCCCACATTTACTCCACATCCAGTCTTCTGGGCTGTTCCTAGGTCATGAAATAAGGGTTGCTTTAGGAATAATGCCGCCGAGGTCTTGTTGGGAGGGGAGGGTAGCAGTGGACATTGTGTCCTGAAGGAAAAGCCCAGCCAGCAGCAGGTTCTATCTGAAGCAGAGTGCTGAGGCAAAGCCAGGCACTGCCTGGGGGGGGGTAGGGGGGGAGACTGAGGAGCGCAGGCCCCACAGGAGGGGGGCAGAGAGCACAGCCCCCCCATGGCTTTACTAGGTGTTATGACCCGGCCTGCTTCCCTCAGTCAGGTTTGGGTCCTCACCTCCTCACCTCCGGTGTGGCTGTACTTGGGGGTGGAGTTTCCCCAGGAGTCATTCAGGTGATATCTCAAGCACGGAGCCCGAGCTCCCTGCCTGCTCACAGAGAAGGGACAGCAGCTGCCCACACGCAGGAAAAGAGGCCTCAGCAGGAAACCCACCGCAGAAAGAACCCGTGGTCTTGCATTGTCTCCGACCCTCTGCACTGCTACAACGCAATACTGGGGGCTGGGTGGTTAATAAAGAACAACACTTTTGTTTTTTAACTGACCATGTGGTTCCGACATGATCTGGAAGGATAATATCATTTTGCCACTAAAATTCCAAAAATCTTAGCCGGCCAATATTAAGAAATCTATCCCCACCCTAACAACATGTCTCTGTCGGTCTATATATAAAAGATGTAGAACTGGCATGATGCTTTCAAAGTTACTTGCTTTCAACTACAAATGTAACTAATGTAAACCTTGTAACCACCAAGTGTTCTGCTTGTTAAAGATTTTTATCAGGGGCGGGCGCTGGTGGTTCATGCCTGTAATCCTAGCTACTCAGGAGGCTGAGATCTGCTGAGGCCCGGGCAGGAGAGACCGTGAGACTCCTATCTCCAATAAACCACCAGAAAAACCGGAAGTGGCGCTGTAGCTCAAGTGGTAGAGCGCTCGCCTTGAGCTGAAGAGCTGAAGGACAGCGCCCAGGCCCAGAGTTCAAGCCCCACGACCGACAAAAAAAAAAAAAGATTTTTATCAGGGCTGGGAAGGTGAGAGCGCTTGTCTTGCATGCCTGAGGCCCTGGGTTCAATTCCTCAGCACCACATAAGCAAAAAGAAAAAAGCCGGAAGTGGCGCTGTGGCTCAAGTGGTAAGAGTGCTAGCCTTGAGCTGAAGAGCTGAGGGACAGTGCCCAGGCCCCGAGTTCTGGCCCCACAACCGAACCCCCCCCAAAAAAAAGGTTTTTATCAATGGAAGCTGTGATATAAACCTAATCTGAGTTGCTTTAGCGATCATCTGACTACCAGCCAAAGGGGGAAAAAAAACAGGCAGTTTTAACTCCTTGGGAAAGGAGTTGTAAAACAAAAGTGGTTTCCTTTGAAAAGTACAAACTGCAAAGGTTCAAGTACGAGAGAAGTGGGCAACCAAGCTCGCTGTGACCTATGTTATTCCTTACGTCCAGCTAGTCTAAAAGGTAATTGCTGTACAGCTAATCCTGCCCCCCCGCCCCCGTAAAATAGGCTACAGTTTTGTTTCTCCATTTTCTCTCCTATGCTCCATTAGCTCCCTTTAAGATCAAGGACCCAGAGCCATCGTGGATAAGTGTGGGTGCTCTGGGTCGCAGACTGTGGCCACCCCGAGCACATAGTGACTCAGGGTGCAGTTTGCTCTCACTCATGGGAGAATGCTCAGGGAACAAAACAAAGTTGTCACCTTGCCTAAACCAGTGAGCACCAGCCTGCAAAAGCCAATGCACTCAGAGTAAACAAAAATACTGGGAGATGTCTTTAACCATCTGTGTAGAAATTTGCAGGAAACGCAGGCGGCAGGAGGCGGGACAATAGAACTGGGAGACTCTGCGCCCCGCCCAGACTGCCTGGACCCTCCCCACTACCTACCTCCACCGTGGTAACAGGCTGGGTCCCCGCCGGGCTGCATCACTCACGACTGAGGCCTGCTGATTTGGGAAGCTTCAGATCCACTGAAGCTAGACTTTTGCATCGTCCTGATTTGTGTTCTCTTCTACCCTCAGGTAATGTTAATCCCCACAAGTTAGACCATAAGGAAGGTATGAGCAAAAGAAATGATGTGATTTGGTTTCTGTGCTATTGTGCAATTAGAAACATTTTGGTAAACAGCAAAACATGCTAAGTTTGGATTCTTGGCACAGTGCTGATGCTTGTAATCCTTACATTAAGCTGTTTTAAAACAGGCGGCACTGGGCGGTACCTAGTGGTTGGTCAATCGTTAACAAGTTACAGGTAAGCTCTATCTCCTTTGGTCTTCTTGTTGCTTTAATTGGAAACAAAAAGGGCTTTTGTGGCAAAGACTCCTTTGATTATAGTTCAAAGCCAGCCCAGCAGAAAAAAAAATCCCTCTAAAACTCCATCCCCTGACTAGCCAGCAAAGAGCCAGGCTGGAGAGATTCTCTAAGTAACCAGCTAAAGACTGGAAGTGGCACTGTGATACCACCCTGAGTGGTAGAGGGCTAGCCTCAAGCAGAAGCCTTCAGGTACAGTGTCCAGGCCTTGAGTTCAAACCCCATGAATGCCCAGCAACGAGCACCAAGACCCCAGGAGGAGGTCGGTCCTGACCTTTCCCCTGTGCGTGGCTGCCTCTGCGTGGTCCCCTCCGACAGCCAGGGTGGATCCCGACGGTTACTAAGGGTTCGGCTGACTCCTGGCTCTCCCGGCTCCGGCCGGCTTCTCGCCAGCTCACTCAGATCCTAGGGCCTCTTTCAGAACGAAGGCCTAGGATCTGGGGAATGTAGCTTAGTGGTAGAGCCTGTGCTTGGCTCTGTGCCAGCTCCCGGGTTCGGTTCCCCAGTCCCACAAACAGAAAGGCACGGAAAGACGTCGTCCCCGCGCTGGGGGTGTGGCTCAAGGGGGGGCAGGCAAGCTCCAGGCTGAGTTCAACCCCTGCTCCCGGCAGCAAAACAGAGCATCACTGCCTGCGCCAGCCGGAGCCGGGCCACCGCCAATCACTCGGGGCCCCGCGTGGCCGCGGCTCGTCCCACGCCCCACGCCCTTAACCCCCGCACCGCTCGGCCCGGTCACTAGCATTGCGACCCCGGGCTGGGCGCACAGACGACACTCGGCCCACGCGGGAGCCCAGCTCCACCCACGTGAGGGCCCGGTTCCGACGTGGCCGCGGCCACGCGGGGGTCCCGGCCCCCACCCCGAGCGCCCGGACTAGGGGCGGCACGAAGTCCACGCAGAACTCCCGTTCTCCCGCGCGCCGGCTTCGGACTCCACGGGAGGCCCCGCCCCAGCCAGCACTGGCCAATCACCGAGGGCTTGGGTCTTGCCCGCCCCCAGGCCCCGCCCTGAGCCAATGAGCGAGGTCGGAGCTGTCGTCCGGCCCCGCCCCCACCGGCGCGCGCAGCTGTTCGCACGTCGGGGTGCAAATAAAGTTCTCGGCGGCTTTGAATTTTTTTTTTTAAAGTGCCCGCCGTCTTCTCGGTCGCCGCGGGCGAGAGCGGCGGAGTCTCCGCCCCGCCACTTCCGGTCCCGCCGCCGGGAGCCGGTGCGGCTGTTAGGCCCGCGTCTCGCCGCCGCCGCCGGCCGGGCATGGTGTTGGGCGCCGGCCCGCCTCGCCTGTCTCGGGGTGCTGAGGTGAGCGGGCCGCGCGGCCGGGGAACCGCGCGCGGGGGTCGCGGCGGCGATCCGCCCCGCCTAGGCCGCCGGCTCTCCTGCCGGACGCGGGGCCGGGCCCGGGCCGACAGGTCCCGCGACCCGAGCGGCCCGCGGCGGGCGACGGCTCCACCGGGTGGCGGGCGCCGCGGATCGGGCCGGGCCGGGCCCGCCGGGCGTGGCGGCGGCGACGCGGCCCGCGGGGCGCCGGGCAAGGTCACCGCGCCGACGGGCCGGGGGCAGCGGGAGCCGGGGCCGCGCTAGGCCGGGCGGCGGGCGAGGCGGACGGCGGGGCCGCGCCGCGGGGACGGCGGCCGGGGCGGGGACGGCGGCCGGGGAGCGATCGGGTGTGGCCGCCCCTCCCCGCGCTCTGTCCCCGTGGGTCGCGGCCGAGGCGGGTCGGGTCCCCGCGCGCGGAGGGGCCCTGCTCTCCCAGAGGGGAGGCGTCGCGGGCGGGGCCGGGACCCGTCCGTCAGACGGCCCGGGCACGGTGTGGAGCCGGGGCGGGGAGGCCGGCCGCCTGGTGCGGGATTCCCGCTGGGCCGAGGGCTGGAGGCCGGAGCTGTAGAGCGAGCTTGGCGGCGGGGCTAGAGGCCTCCCCGCACCCTCCCCCCCACCGCAGACCGGGACGCGGGCCTCCCTCTCCTTCCCCCCCCCCCCACCCGGGGACGCGTGCTCCCCGACCCGGACGCGGGCCTCCCCCTTCCCCCCCACGACTCGGGCCTTCCTCCTCCCCCCCCCGACCGGGACTCGTGCTCCCCCCCCCACGAACGGGACGCAGGCCTCCCCCCTCTCTCCGGACCGGGACGCGTGCTCTCCCCACTACCCCCTGGGACGCACCGCGGACCTGCCACCCGGGCGGGCGCGGGGCCTAGCCGGAGGGGCGCGGTAACTGGTGGGAGTGAAGAAGGCCGAGCCCCAAGGCGGTTCCCGGGCCGCGCGTGGCGGGCGTGGGCTCCGTGTCCCGATCCGGGGGCCGGGGGAGGGGAAGCCCACCGCTCTGGTGACCCGCGTTCCACGTCTCCTGTTGAGACATCTCCTTGGCGGTGAGAGCTGTGAGTGCGGGGCGACCCTGCACCCCGGGCTGGCGGCCCCCGCGCCCGGCACGGGAATGCTGGCCACGCCGCTCCCGAGGCCTGCGACCCAGGAGGCCCGTCCATCCCGGAGGAAGCTCACCGGGCCAATGGCAACTTGTAGGACCTCGAGACGCAGCGCGCCCTTGAGAAGAGCCCATCTGGCCCCAAATGCTGCGCACTCTGAGCGCGTGGTTTTGGGGAAAGGGGAAGTGTGGCTTCAGACCTGGCTTTGAAGTGGTGCGGGGTATGGAAGGGCGACCACGCTCACCAGCCCCAGAGCTCAGATCATTATCTCTGCCTGAGTCCTCGTGCTGGCGTGTTCTTCAGGTCTGGCCCTTGGTTTGTCCCTAGAGGGGCATACGGTGATTCCGGTGACCACAGCAGCGATCACTCTAGGCTCAAGTTAGAATGTTAGAACAGTGAGTTTCTACCATTTTCCACGGAAGGCAAAACACCAATGTGTTCTTTTTTTTTTGTACTTGCAGCCAGTGCCAGTGTATTTAGGAAGGACCACATAGCCAGCCAGGAGGCCGCCATCCTGGGCATTGAGTGAGGCTCTGCCACTCCGCAGACTGCAGTGGGGGGGGGGGCGGTCTTGGATTGGCCCACTCTAAGCAGGTCCTCCTCCCATTCTGTGCGGGACTTCCAGGAGCTGGAGTGCCACACTGTGGTCCCTTGGTTTGGACTGACTTGACACTGTTCTGTTCTCACACTGAAGTGAGCAGAGGATTAAAAACCTGGTGGTCCCTGTGGGCACCGAGTCTCAGACTAATCCCCAGTTGAAGGATGCAGCCTGAGGGCCACCAGCTGGTGTCCACAGGGTGTAGGGGACAGAGAGGCCCCAGTCTAGACACAGGCCAGGCCTGGCTCAGCTGGGGTGGGACCCCAGGCAGGGGCCTGGCCAGGGTGCAAACGCCACCATGTGGTCCGGGAACCCTTCGAAGGGTCCCTGACAGATCATGGGGGTGTGCAGGCTGGAGAGGTGGGCAGCTGTGGGCTGAAGTCCCTAGGAGCGCCCTCACCATCTGTCTCCTCATGAACTGACACCACCTGCCAGGGGTGAGGACGTGTTCGCAGCCGGCCAGCCTCCACGCAGCTCCCCACGAGAAGGCAGGGCAGAGTAGGACTAGAAAAACTATTAGCAGCATGTTTTCACTGCATGTGTGTGTGCATGCATGTATGCATGTGCATGTGTGCGCATGTGCATTCAAACTCCCAGTAATGGACTTGAACTGAGGGCCTGAGCACTGTCCTTTAGCCTTTCCCTCAAGGCTTGTGCCCTACCACTTGAGCCACAGCTCCACTTCTGGCTTTTTGGTGGCTTATTGGAGACAATGGACTTTTCTGCCCCGGCTGGCTTTGAAATGGGATGCTCAGATCTCAGCCTTCTGAGTAGCTAGGATTAGATGTGAGCCACCAGTACCCAGCTTGGTTTCATTTTTTTCAACTTTATAGAGGCATAGTAATAAATGTGGCCCATCAGCCTTGGCCTTCATTTAGGTCCTCTAGATGGAAGCAAGAGTTTGTGTGGTGCTGCTGCTAGCCCAGGCTTCTCCCCTCTGGGCACGTTGCCCCGTGTACTTGGTAAAAGAAGTGGGATGGGTAGGGCTAGGAGCCCTTCCCAGACTTAGAAGTTCTTCGCACACACACACTGATGTGTGGCGCTGCTGTGTTTTTAAGCATTTGCACCACTGCTGACTGGGTGTTTTTGTGGTGTTGGCGGTATGTTTTGTGTTTTAAGTAAGATAAGGGACTTGCTGTCTGGCCCAGGGTGTTCCAAACCTCTTGATCTTCCCTCTATCTCCTGAGGGCTGGGATTACAGATGTGTCACCATGCCCAACATGGCAGCCTTCGGTATGGCAAAGACCAAGTATTGTCCTCGTGTCTTGTTTTCTTTACACAAGTCTTTTGAGAGATAGGCAGAAAATAGTGTGAAAATAGTCTGAGAGGCTTGCAAGAAGCCTGGGTAAAATGGTTTAAAAAGAGGATTTTTATATTTTGGCTTTTGGTGTCTTAGTGTCCAACTATAGCTTCTGTGCTTAGGTCACATAATTCACTTATGTGACATGTGATCATCACATTTTAGGAGGAAGTGGTACTGAGAGGAAATGGTATTGGGAAGTGGAAGTTGTAGCACAGAGGTTGAGCGTCAGCCACCAAAAGAATGATACTAAAGGGAGGAATTGAATTATGGATGTATTGAATGGGTGTGGTGAAGTGTGGGCCAGTCAAAGTATCCATTCCATGAAGTTTATGTTGAAACTCCCCTGTTAGAATTGGCCACCTGCTAATAATGTATCTTGTGGTTTCTGGGTAACAACAGTGTATCCACATAGGTTGCTCACGTGAAACAAATGAATGTCTCTGGTGGGAGGGGGGTGTTGTCCTGGAGAAAGGGCGGAGGGCACCGTGGGAAACGCCTTCTGTCCCACATCGCTGTGAGTCTAAAACTGCTCTAATTAAAAAACAAAAACTCTAAGTCTTAACAAAAGGTCAGTGGCATTTTTTTGTTCCTTCTTGTGGGTAGTTGGGTGTCTCCTGTGTTTGGGCTTTGCCTTCCTTCCTGGGGAGTTTTTAGTGAGAACTTGAGTCACACAGGCCCAAAACAGCCCAGAAGAGAATCTAGTGAGAGACGCTAATTATATGCTACTCATGATTGCTGTTACCGCAAAGCATTTAAGTAAAAGCTGGGTGCTGTTGGTTCAAGGCCTCCTCCTAGCCTCCTCAGGAGGCTGAGATGTGAGTATCACTGTTTGAAGCCAGCTGGGGCAGGAAAGTCCATAAAACTCTTATCTCCAATAAACTACAAAAAGAAAAAAAAAAAGTCTACACCGTGGCTCAAGTAGAGCAGTAGCCCTGAGCAAAAGGAGCTTAGCGACAGTGCCCGGGCCCCTGAGTTCAAGCCCAGGACTGGCACTAGAAAAAAGGATGTAAATGAAGCGAAGCATAGACAAGTGCAGAGGTTCTTTGAGGCTCTGCCCCTCTGCCAAGGACGGAGGGAAAGCCAGGCATTGCCGTGCCTTCTCCCCACGTCCCCCGCTGCCACTGCTCCCCCTCTCCCTCCTCCCCAGCTCGCTGCTGGGTCCCCTTCCTATATTGGTGGAGCTGTAGACCAGGCCCCCATCACACGCGCCACAAAATCCCCGGGCAGAACACCAGTGGGTGGGTGTCCAGTGAGCATGAGGTTCTCGACTCTCCCTTTAAAATCCCTGCTTACGCTAGAGAGCTTACCCCGATGTGTGTAAAGTTTCCTATAGCCAATTTTAGAGAATTCAAAACCGCACTGCTCACCTCGCTCTCGCCCTGTCTTCCAGAGTAAAGGTGGTAGTAATGCTAACGCTGGCAAGCAAACTGAAGCGAGATGACGGTCTCAAAGGGCCCCGGACAGCTGCTGCTGCGTCTGACTCCACGCGGAGAGTTTCCGTGAGAGACAAGTTGCTTGTTAAAGGTAACCCTCGCTTGTCAGGGAACTGAAGGTGGGATAGAGCCGGCCCCAGGGCTCTTTGGGGTGCAAAGCAGCTCCTTGCTGAATGGAAACCTTTACTTGAAGTCACCTACAGTGGAAGAACTTGTGTTGTGCAGCCGGTAGGGGGCGCTGTTGGGACCCGCTGAGGTGGGAAGCAAGTAGAAAGACCCTGGTTATCTGTCTTCCTGCTTCACGAAGCAGCTCAGCCTTTCAGTCTGAAAGGGAGGGAGTAGGGCTGAGCCTTTCCTTGTGCTGTCCGGTTTCATTCAGGGTGCAGCTGAGAAGGCCTTATCACAGAACTAGTGGTAAGTTAGGTCCTAGCCTGCAGTCAGTCCTCTGGCCGTGCTGGCCATATTTGGGAAAGGGTGGCCAAATGTGGGTGTGTATGTGTGTGCAAAACATGCACTCACGGGCGTCTTTGTACATTTCCTGCTCGTTCACCAAGCAAAGGTGTTTAGATGCAGAGCCAGTTTTCCCAGAGCTTTGAGGGCCCCAGGAGGTGAGGAAGCAGGGCTGTCCTTGAAGAGCTTGTATTTTTTAAAATTTTCTTTTTGTTTTTTGTTTTTTTGGGTGGGGGGGATCCTGTCGTGGGGCCTGAACTCTGGGCCTGGGCTCTGTCCCTCAGCTCTTCAGCTCAAGGCTAGCGCTCTACCACTTGAGCCACAGTGCCACTTCCAGCTTTTTTCTTTTTTGCTTATGTGGTGCTGAGGAATCAAACCCGGGGCCTCATGCTTGCAAGGCAAGCACTCTACCTCTGAGCCACCTTCCCAGCCCCTTTTTTTAAATTTTCTAGAACATTATTGACTTTTTTGTCTGGCATGGGGCTTGAAGTCAGGGCCGCATGCTCTTGCTTGGCTTTTTTTTTTATTATTTTTTTGGGTCCGGTTGTGGGGCCTGAACTCTGGACCTGGGCGCTGTCCCTCAGCTCTTCAGCTCAAGGTTAGCGTTCTATCACTTGAGCCACAGTGCCACTTCCGGCTTTTTTCTTATTGCTTATATGGTGCTGAAGAATCGAACCCAGGGCCTCAGGCTTGCAAGGCAAGCGCTCTACCACTGAGCCACCTTCCCAGCCCTTGCTTGGCTTTTTTATTCAAGGCCAAAACTTCATCACTTGAGCCACAACTCCATGTCTGGCTTTTTGCTCGTTAATTGGAAATAAGAGTCTCATGGACTTTCCTGCCTTAGCTGGCTTCAAACCTCGATCCTCAGATCTCAGCCTCCTGAGTAGCTGGGATGACAGGCGTGAGTGCCTGGGTGTTTTTTGAAATAAGATCGCACGATAGAGCCCAGGCTGGCCTGTGACTCACATCCCTCCTATCTCAGCCTCCCAGATGTAGGGATTACAGTTTGCTTTTCTTGCATGTATAGTAAGTAGTTAGGCCACAAAGAAGGGTTGAATAGTGTTGAACAAGAGTCTCAGATTTTCATGCATGGGTTGGCCTTGAACTGTGATCCTCAGATTTCAGCCTCCTGTGTAGTGCAGCTGGGGTTACAGATGTGAGTCACTGGCATCCTGCAGGATAACCAGCGTTTGTGTGTTGTAAAGGAATCGGGGCCGGAGAGCTGGAGTTTCTGGCTGCTCTGTCCAGCATTTGCAGATAGAGTACCGCAGAACTGGGGGAGGGGTGGAGAAAAAAACTGTAACGGGGTGTCCTCCTGTGCTTCCCCTGTCCAAGAATCTTGACTTACCTGCATGCCCATTCAGGCTGATGATGATTGACTGAAGAATGATAATCACAGGTCACCAGCACCCGAGGCTGAAATCTGTGGACAGTGGTTCAAAGCCAGCCCAGGCAGAAAAGTCCCCATGAGATTATCTCCAATTAACCACTCAAAAACTGGTAATGGAGCTGTGGCTTAAAGTGGTAGAGTGCTAGTCTTCAGCAAAAAGTGCTCAGGGACAGTGCCCTGGCCCAGAGATGAAGTCTCCCAAGCCACAGCTCATGTCTGGTCATTAACCTGCTCAGTCGATTATGTTCAGAGTCCATCACAGTGGGAGAGGCCTGCCCAGAGGGTCAGAGAAGCAGGGTGTGCCTGGAGCACCTCACCTGGGTGAACTTGAGTGCGTTTGAGGCTCTTTCTTTCAGCCTAGCCTTGGGGCTCATTTGCAGGGCAAGCCCGCAGGCCGCGCACTGTGCGGGGCTCCAGGGAGTCCCGGCAGCTGGGCTGAAGGGCGTTTGAGTGCCGTCCTCAGGCCCCAGGTGTCAGCTGGGAGGAGCTGGCAGCGCCACCGTCCCAGTGTGGCACTGCCTTCTCCATGGTTAGTGAGCGGCTTTGGGTCATTGAGCTTAGAGCCAGGCCTGTTAGACACTGTCGAACAGACATTTGTGCTGCTGTAACAAAAGACCACAGGCTGGATAATGTATAAACCATACATGTTTCTTTCTCACGATTTTGGAGTCTGGAAAGTACAAAGTTAAGGCAGGAGGATTGGTTTCTGCTGAGGCTCACCTCAGTTTTTTTTTTTTGGTCTGGTGTGGGGCCTGAACTCTGGGCCTGGGCGCTGTCCCTCAGCTCTTCAGCTCAAGGCTAGCACTCTACCATTTGAGCCACAGCGCCACTTCCTCCTTTTTTTTTTCTGCTTATGTGGTGCTGAGAAATCGAACCCAAGGCCTCATGCATGCAAGGCAAGTGCTCTACAACTGAGCCAGTGCCCAGCTCACCTCGGACTTTTTAAGGGGCTCCAGAACCTTCCAGAGCCCAGGGGAGACCACTGAATCTGCCAGTGCCAGACTCCTGGAGCCCCATGGGCCAGTGCCACTGGCCCTGCCGAGTCGTTTGCCCTCACGCGACCTTCCGAGGGAGGTAGAGCCTCCTCTGCCTCTTCCTGGGCACTGATGTGGAGCCCCAGACACTTGGAACTGCCGGTGGGTCAGCTCTGTGGCTTGCCCGAGGCCCCTTGCTCCATCTGCCTCGGGCTGCTGGGCGGAGGGCTGGCCGCGGGGTGGATTGTGGGTGCTGGGGAGAGGTCAGGCAGGCCGGAGCTGAGAGCAGAGCCCGGACCGCAGGTGTGGGAGCATGCTCCTCTGGTCTGCTTCTGGAGCTGCTTTGCTTGGCTTGTCCTCCGGTGGCTTGTCGGCCTTGCGGGCAGCGTTCACAGGGTCAGGCCAGTGCCGCTGGTGCTGCAGGGGACAGCAGCGTCCACGCCGTGGGGCGGCAGGCTCAGCAGAAGGTGCTCATGGGGAGAATCTATTCTGCTGCAGGCCAGAGCCTGTTCGGGGGCCTCGAGTGGGGTTCCCCTGGACGCTGCGCTCCCAAGCTCCATGTGATTCCCGCTCCTGACCTGTGAGGTCTGTGTCTTTTGGACTAAATGCCATCAGCGCCGTCTCCAGCGTGGGCGCAGGCCGTGGAGGAGTGCTCCGTGCGTGGGGCTAGGGCGGCGGGGGGGCAGGAAGGCCTGGCTGTGAGGAGGCCCCGCCGCAGCCTTGGCGCAGACACTCCGCTGGGGACCAAGGCCGTGTGGCACTGTCCCCACCAAGAGGGCATGTGGGGGGCGCACCGTGGCGTGATGCCGTCCACGGCACGGCGCCCCAGACGGGAGCCCAAGGGACGCACTGCCCTGCTGAGCGGCAGCCATGCACCCCGCTGCGGGCGGAGCCTGTCCTCCGGGGCGGGCAGCTGCGGCGCGGCCCGTGATGGCAGGCAAGAGTGAGCACCCCTTCTCCGCCCCAGATCCCTGGACACCCTTGGCCTGCCCTGGGGCGGCTGACGTGGTCTCCGCTGCACTGGGACCAGCGCGGCACTGGCAGCAGCCATTCCCGGAGACATGTGTCACGCAGCCCGGCCTGACTGCTGGAGCCAGGTCCCTGGAAGAGCATTGCGTCTGTCTGCCTGCCTGCCTGTCTGCTCTCCCTGTGCGGGCTGGTCCTAGCTGCCTGGCTGCTTTCTGGCCATCACGTTTGGGGTGTGGGGTGTTCCCTGTCCCCAGGGAGAATTAGCTGCTTCCTCATCGGTGTGGAGTTGGCATGTTATCATGTGACAGCCGAGCATCTGTCTCCTGTTCTTTCTCTTGCTCACCCAACAGACAGCGACCCCAGAAGACCCCGGGAAGCGCGGGCGGTATGGCGGAAGCCATCCCTGGGTCAGTCTCAGAGAAACCGGGTGGGCTGGAGTTGAGCTGAAGCCCGGTGAGGGCCGCGGCGAGGGCAGCTGGAGATGGAGGGGGAGGGCGGGCTCCGGCTCTCTCCCTGCAGTGCACGCCGTGGGCTCACCCGCACCTTCCGGTTCTCCGGTGCCTGTGCCCTGGGTCGGGGCCTCCCTGTATCTGCAGGACCATCCTGTGTGGCCATGTGCTGCCATTCCAGCGGGGCTTGTAGGAGGGGAGAGAGGAGGGTCAGCTGGAGCCCTGCTCCCCACGCCGGGTCCGGCTGGCTACAGTGTCAGATTGCTGCAGCATTTTGGCAACAGGTGAAGTGTGCCGTATCACACATTTTGCACATGGAAGTGCTGGTCCAGAGGAAGGAAGGTGGCGTGGCGCTCCGGATGCCTGCCACAGATGACTTCGCACGTCGGCCCGGCTCCAGAGCTGCCCAGGAGCAGGTTCCTAGATGGCTGTCTCTGCTGTGGCCTTCAGTGCCATTGGGGAGGTGGACGGTGTCGGGGGCCGCCTCTCTCTCTCTCTCCCTCCCCCCTTTCTCCCTCTCTCCCTCCCTCCCTCCTGGTCTTGGGGCTTGAACTGAGAGCTTGGGCACTGTCCCTGCTTTTGTGTTCCCTCCCTCCCTCCCTCCCTCCTTCCCTCCCTCCCTCTCTCCCTCCCGGTCCTGGGGCTTGAACTCAAGAGCCTGGGCACTTTTGCGTTCAAGGCTAGCGCTCTACCAGCTCCACTTCCTTTTTTTTTTTTTTTTGTGACTAATTGGAGATAAGAGTCTCATGGACTTTCCTGCCTTGGCTGGTTTTGAACCTCAATCCTCAGATCTCAGCCTCCTGGGTAGCTAGGATTACCGGTGTGAGCCACCAGTGTCTGGCTTTTCTCTTAAGGACACTAGTTCTGTCTTGTGACCTGATCTGAGCCCAATCACCTTCGGGAGGCTCTGCCTCCGAATCCTGTCCACAGGGTGGAGGGCGGGCTCGGGCTCGGGCTCGGGCTCAGGTTAGCACACCGCTGGCAAGCTTCCTCAGCTGGGGGATGCCAGGCTCCCCGACTCTTGGCACCCACGGCAGGCCCTTGCCACTCTGAGGTGAGTATGCTGTGTGTCCCCTTTTTTTTTTTTTTTGCTTATATGGTGCTGAGGAATCGAACCCAGAGCCTCAGGCATGTAAGGCAAGTGCTCTACCACTGAGCCACCTTCCCAGCCCCAGTGTGTCCCCATTTCTTGTGCAACCCCAGTGCCCGGCCAGTGCAGGTACTGGGGTGGGGCGTGCTGAGGACTCCCACCCGGAAGAATGGGTGGCGCTGGTGGTGCTGAGGAGGCGGCCGGGGCCCTCCATTGGAGGGCGGTGAGGCCAGGGGCTGCCAAAGTGAGCAAGTGGGTTTTCTCATCTGCTCTCGAGGTATGGCTGCTTCCCAAGGGCGCTGTGGTTTTATCTTTAGTGAGAAAGAAAAGGAGTCTTAGTGTCTCAGAAGGAAATTGCATAGCCACCTAGTTGTGCAAGATGCAGGCACCTCGAGAAGGGCTGGGCTGCTGAGCAGGAGCCGGAGCCGGAGCCGGAGCCGGAGGCTGCGCGCGGTGGCGCTAGTGCCTTGGCGTGGGCGAGACCTGAATGATGGAAAAGTGTGTCGGGTCTCTTAGCTCACAGGGCCGGGAAGGCTGCAGCCTCACTTCTCCAGGCTTGGAAGCAGTTAGCTTGCTTCTTTGGCCTCTTCTCCTTTGGTTTGTTTTTGTTTTTGTTTTTTTGTCAGTTGTGGGGTCTGAACTCTGGGCCTGGGTGCTGTCCCTCAGCTCTTCAGCCCAAGGCGAGTGCTCTACACTTGAGCCATAGCACCACTTCCAGCTTTTTTGTGTGGTGCTGAGCAATTGAACCCAGGGCCTCATGCATGCGAGGCAAGCACTCTACCACTGAGCTGCTTCGCAGCCCAGCCCCAACTCCTTTGTGTTGGCTCTAAGGTGATAGTGTCTGTTTGCCACCATTTGAAGTGATGTGTCATTTGTGACAGCTCCAATAGGAGTGTGACAGCTTGGTCTGTGTTCTACTATGGGCTGGACTAAAATGCCCAGCATTGTTATTGAAGTCCTGAGACTTTGCCTGCATTGGCTCTTGGGCCACAAGCCTGCAGGGCCCTGGCTGGCAGGACTCACCAGAAGGCTCCGCCCTCCTTCGTGAGGACTCAAGCAAAACCTTCATGTGGGGATTTCAGTGACCGACGGTGTGTGCAGTGAGTCTATATCCCATAGGAAAGAGCTCCTTTTAAGTTCCTTTATGTTGAACATGGTTTTAATGACAAAAAAATCTGCAGCGGGCTGAGAAGCTGGCTCAGTGGTAGAGCGCTAGCCTTGAGCTAAAGAGTTGAGGGACAGTGCCCAGGCCCAGAGTTAAGGTCCCACGACCGGACCCCCCCAAAAAAAAATCTGCAGCGATGTATTCCACCTGTGGCTGGGGCCCAACATTTGTGTATTGGAACTCAGTCAGCAGTGGCCCGCATTAGGAGGCCAGGTGGCGGGAGGAGGCAGTTCCTGTGGTGGGGTTTTCCTGGAGGGGCCTCGAGCCCGTAAGGAAGAGACCCCATGTGAGTGCATGGCAAGAAAGCATAGTCAAGGGCCTGGCCTTCACCAGACACCACGTCTGCAGGGTCCCTGCCCCTAGAATTGTGAATGAGACGTGCCTGTTCTTTATAAACCACTCATGTCAGGTATTTTTGTTATTAAAGGCCACACAGACTGAGACAGCTGAGAGAATAAAATCAACTCAGAGGCCCAGAACATTCCCAGACCCATGGATACGGCAGGTCTGGGTTACTGCCCGGACACTGGGATTTTTATAGGATTGTTGTGGTGGGTACACACTCCTGCGTTCACAAGAAACCATTGACTCCTTTGTTTAATTAAAGTGGATCTATTTTATATAATTGAGTTATTCCTTACAAAGCTGTAGAGCAAAATCTAATCAGTAAGATTCTCCCCAAGGAAATAAGCGGCTGGTATGCACTGTGACACCTCCACACCATACCCAGCTACGTTTCTTTCTTTTTTTTTGATAATGCATACTTATATTTATATATATGAAAATAAAAATACAGTATATACAGCATATATAGAAAGAGTATATATATTGTGTATGTATATGCATATCTGTATGTACATATACCTGTTGGTATATATATGCATTATCTATATACATGTCTATGTGTATATATATGTAAAGATATGGAGATATGAAATATGTATAAATATACCAAACATAATTCCTCCCCATTAAAATATTTGTCCATTCATTCTTTCTCATAGAGATAGTTTGTTAGTTACCATAGCACACAGATTCTTTCTTTTAAACAATTTTTCTTAATAGACTTTGGAAATCTAATCTGGTTGGAAGAAAGTCAGTGGTCCCGATTTAACTCAGGAAAATGGTAACAAGTATTCTTTGTCACAGCATATTCAGTAAATGCCTCAAAATATTTGTTTTTTTTTAATTTTCTTTTTTATTTATTTTTTAATTTTTTTAATTTAATTTTATTTGTGAACATACTGTATAGAGGGGTTACAATTACATGGGCAGGATAATGCGTACATTTCTTACCAAGCATTGCAGCCTCCTCCTCTACGTTTCTTTCTTTTGTGCCATTCCTGGACTTGAACTCAGGCTTGGGCACAATCCCTGAGCTTTTTTAAAGCTCAAGACCTAGTGCTTTACCACTTGAACCACAGCTTACTTCTGTCCTTTGGGTGGTTAATTGGAGATAAGACTCATAGACTTTCCTGCCCCACCTTTGAACCTTGTTCCTCTGTTTCTGAATAGCTAGGATTATAGGAATGAGTCATTGGTGCCCAGCTTGTGTGTGTGTGTGTGTGTGTGTGTGTGTGTGTGTACACTTGTACGTGTGTATGTGTGTACATGTGCGTGCTGGTCCTGGGGCTTGAACTTGTGGTCTTGGGTGCTGTTTGTTAGATTTTTCTTTTTTCCCACTTGGGCCACAGCTCCACTTCAAGCTTTTTGGGGGCCTAAACTGGCTTCAAACCACAATCCTCAGATCTCGGCCTCCTGAGTAGTTAGTACTACTATCAGGTGTGACCCACTAACACCCGGATTACAATTTATTTTTTGAACAAATCGTTCTTTATGTATTAGTTTTGTATCCTGCAACTTTACTGAATTTACTAGTGCTTGTTTTCGTTTGTTTTTTGTTCCAGTACTGGGGCTTGAACTCATGGCTTTGTCTTCTTATTTACTTTTTTGCTTAAGGCTGGCATTCTACCACCTGAGCCACTGCTGTACTTCCATGTTACATTTTTTGTGGGGGTTTCAGAGTCATCCACAGGATCCTGTCTGTGTGAGCCTGTTTGTTCTTGCTCATTCTTCTAGCACTGCTTTGAATGCAGGTGGAGAGAGAGAGAGTGGGCCTGGTGCCTTTGACCTCAGTCTTGGATGGCCGAATTGGTGGAGTGCTGCAGCTGTTTCTTGCAGAAGGGTTCTGGATTTAAATGTCTGCTAAAAGATGGATTACAGAGGAAATGGGTGGTTGAGGCCCAAGAACAGAGGACTCAGGCCAAGAAATGTAACTTGAGGACAGGTCTGGGAAAAGAATAGATCCTTGGTAACTCTGAATCAGATTTGCGGGGGGGGGGGGAGGTAAACTATGTTACATTTAATGAACATCAGAGAGAATATTAATTTTATTGGCTATAGCTAGTCTCCCTCATCTTTATTTTAGATTTCTGTGTTTCTTATCATTTCTATGTTAATTTAACATGATTACTAAAGGCAATTTTCAAGAATCGTTGGCTGCATTTGTCTAAATGGCTTAAAATCTAGACTAGATTTCAGTTCATCTAGTTTATTATTTCCTTCTGTGTTCCAGAGGAAATTGCTGATTTGCAACTAGCAAAGACTGATACTAACCATACTCTCTTTGTTTCTACAGAAGTTGCAGAACTTGAAGCTAATTTACCTTGTAAGTATAGCTTCCTTAGTCAAATTAGTACCCTGAATGAATTACGTGAGAAAAGCTTTTATGTTTTAGTGGCCTATTTTTCATGTATGTTAGGAATGAATTTTGGTTTTACGCAGAAAGGTGAATTTTTTAGAGGATCTGAGATCCTGCAGTCTTTCCAAATGGGCAGTGATATATGGAGGAGGGGTCTGGTTAGGTCCACGTTCTCAGTGAGTGGAGAGGCCCCTGAGCCAGTTCCAGACAGCACTGTTCCTGTTAGTGGTCACATCCACTGCCACTGAAAGTGAGGAACGTGATGCTGCATGCAGGCCTGGAGTGGTTTTGCAGTTCGTTGGTGAGGGTAGGTTTAAGTTGTTTCTTGAAATTTATTTTTGATGTATAATGTTTATTTAGATTGTGTTTATAAAAAATGTATTCTTAGTCAAAATGTCTTCAGAATTCAGGATTGATTATCAATCCTTGAAAGAAGAACTAACACAAACCAGGTGTGGTGGTACATGCCTGTAATGCATGAACAAACACAGAACATAAAGGAAAGCTGTAAACTACAGAGCAATTTTCTTACTCAGGATACCAAATTTCCTCTTCTTTTTTTGGAGGAGGATATGGGTAAGAACTCAAAAAATCAAATACCAAAAGAACACATAGTCCTGTCAGCAGGTAAGAAATGAATTGAACAGTTCTTAAGAAACATTTATATGGCCAATAAAAATATGTGAACGGAAGATGTTCAACTCCTTAGTTATAAAGGAAATACAAATCAGAACTTTAAAATTCCACGTCACTCCAGTCAGAATGGCAGTCATCAAAGAAACAGTGACAACACATGCCGGCGTGGTGCGGGAGGAAAGAGCCCGCACACACGTGTGCACATGTGTGCCTGTGCGTGCACACGCACACACACACACTCACTGGGAAGGCACATAGTGCAGCTAATATGGCGGTTCCTCAGCTAAAAACAGCCATGATGTGATCTGAGATGGCATGCTGTTTTAGATTGAATTACCTTCAACTCTAAAAAAGAAACCCAGCAAGAGTCCTCAGTTGTAGTAGAGTGAATGTAACACTTTACAGAGCACTCTGCCACTTGAGCCAAGCCCTCAGTTCTTTTAGATGGGGTCTCGCTGCCTTTCCTCAGTGGCATGCATGTTCCCCTAGGAGACCCCTTGTCCTGGTCTAAGCCACTTCTGGGTGGGGACTGGTAGACCCAGAATGCTGCTGTCTGAGTGGCATCATTCCTCCAACAAAATTCGAGCAAGTTGCCGGGGAGATAGATGGTGCAGACAATTTCTGAGGTGCACGCTCCAGCTGGGGCGCCTGCCGCAGCGCGTTGCTCCTGCTCCTCCCCCAGCAGCCACGCGCTAGGGTCTGTGTGGGCTGCGTGCTGAGTGTGCAGACTGATTTTTCCATGTTTAGTTGCCTTTACCAATGTATATTTGTTGCCCTGAGGTATGCTTTCTTCTTTCCCAAGTGAGTAGCATAATTCTTGACATGAATGAGAAGGTCTATTTTTAGTGACCATTTAATGATTGAAAGCAAATATCTGCACTTGGAATTGTTAGAAAGAGATAACCAAATGACAAAACCTGGTTTGCCCTTTGAGCCCGTTGGTGTGATCAGTAACAAACACTGTGTGTGTGGGGGGGGGAGGAAGGGGGGTGTTCAGCAAGGCCGCCTGTGAACCCTCTCCGAGGGCTTCCATGTGGTCCCGGGGAGCCTGCCCGCTGAGGCTCTGCCGCCCTGTGCACCACACCTTCTCAAGTGCTGTTTCCCTTGCAGGTACCTGCAGAGTGCACTTTCCTGATCCAAACAAGCTCCACTGCTTTCAGCTCACCGTCACCCCAGGTAACGACATCCACGCCTTGTCCAGGGGATTTCCAAGCTGCATATACTGTGCTCTGACCAAATTCACCCCGCTCTGACCCTTTCTTGTCCTCTCCCTCTTCCCCTTTTTAAATAACTTCGGTGGGTCTCCTTATGGTATCGCCACACATATATGTGATGCAGTTGGCTTATGTCCGTCCTTAGCTCCCTCTACGTCCCCTGACCCCTGACCCCTGCTGCCAGGTTCCCCCTTCACAATCATGCCATTGTTTCTTTTGGCAGGAGGGCTTGGACTCTGGACCTGGGCACTGTCTCTGATCTTTTGTGCACAATCCTCAAATCTTGGCCTCCTGAATAGCTAGGATTACAGGTGTGAGCCACAGGTGCTCAGCTTCATGTCATTATTCTGAACAACAAATTTTGAAGTCTGCCCAAATCTATATTCCTTGCCTTGATTTGCCCTTTAGCATTTATAAGGCTAAGACTTGGTGACATTCCGCATGAAGACTGGCTACATGCGTCAGAGGAAGTGAGCCCAGGCTTTCCACACACCCTGCCGCAGACGTGTGGATGGCACACGGTGTATGTGTGATGCACTGGCCTGTATGACACACCTGCTGTGCGTGTGTGAACTACGGTGGAGAGCGTGGGCTCCAAAGCGCAGGGGACTGGTCACCCCTACCTGGGATTTGAGCCTTCACAGTTGCCTAGGGGTTCAGTTGGCTCCTCGTAGAGAGCCAACCAAGTGGGCCCTGACTCCTATGACAGTTGGGGGCTCATCACTTGAGCCTCGTGTCTGGTGCCAGGAGCAGATAGTCAGCTGTCCTCATACACACCACCCTCCTCCAGGCGGCCCTGGGCGGCACTTGTGTCCCCTTGGCCAGGCCAGGCAGCATAGGAGGATAGAGCTTTTGAAGAGGAGGTGCAGCTCCAGGAACAAGGGATCACCCCCTCCCAGGGGTGGGGGGTATCCAATGCTGCTGTGGGCGGGGAGGGAATTAGCCAGAGGCGTCTCGAATTCTCACCTCTAAATTCTTAGAATGCCCCAAGAAAATCCTTAGAAACGTTTGTAAAGAGGCACCAGAGTGGGAAATTCACTAGCTAAAACTAAAGTATTAAGACATAGCCAAAGGAGATTATTTAGATACATAATGCTGTCAGCTAAAATTGCTCAGAGGATTGTGACAGAGAAGGGAAGGGCTGTTCTGACGTGAAGTGAGTCTGACAGATAACGTGGCATTTCCTGCAGGCCACAGAGGTTAGGCACCCGGAGCCCCTCCGCGGGCTGTCCACAGATGTTCTGGTATCAGTTGACGGATGGAAAGATCGGGTTGTTAACTTAGAACTGAAGTGGGCAGCAAAAGACAATAGGAAGGAAGGACGGACTTAGTGTTGTGGACGCGAAGGGTGTGACAGGCCAGTGTGACAGGTATCGGGTCACCAGCTAATTAAGTGGTTTTGCAAGGTGATTAGCCATGAATAAACGGTGGCCTTGTTTTCTCATAGGTAGGATGAGTTGGTTTTTGTGGGAAATATTTAGTGATAAGACAACCCCAATTTCAAATGTTCTTGGTGACTTTACAATTCTAATTGCTCAGCCGGGCGTGGTGGTCCATACCTGCGACCCCAGCACCCAGGAGGCTGTAGCAGGAGGATCTTGGGCTCGAGGCCAGTGAGACTCCATCTCAAAGCAGCTAACAGAACTCCATGTGGAGATGCACAGAGGCCCTAAGGCAGACATTTAACATGGATAAATCTGGTCTGGCACCATCTTTGCTTGGAGATGAGGAGGGCATTAGGCTGTGGTTGGTGCCCCCCTCTTAGCAGTGGGGTGACCCATCCCTGGCTCTGGATACGTGAAGTGAGTGATGGTAAAAGCGCGTGTCCCTGGCTGCCTCCTGGGCCGCACCGTCCAGTGTGGGGCGTCTTCGCGGGAGCTCTGAGGAGCATGCGCACTGTGCTGCTAACCCATGCAGGGTATTTCCAGAAATTCATGTCTCGTGGTTAAAATTACTGCATTGTTCTATGTAACCTCAGACTTGGGTGTTTCTAGCAAGTGTTCTCTGTCTCCCAGAGCTCTCTGTGTGCCAGGGCTCTGCCGTTTCCCAGGCCTGGGTCTGCTGGTCCTTGGGTATCCACAGAGCCATTGTTGTTTTTCTAGGCTTATTCCTGTCACGTGCTTGGATTTTGGTCAGTCTCACCGCTCAGGAAGTGGTTCTTCCCTTCTCTTTACCAGGATCACATGAGTGTTGTAATAGTGGGATCATATATACAACAGCATCTTGGATGTGCTTAGAGTTGTTCTTGAAAACAGCAGAGTTGTTTCTGTTTTGGTATTTTGCATTCCATCAGGTAAGAATGCATGGTAGCCGGGCACAGGTGGCTCACACCTGTCATCCTAGCTACTCAGGAGGCTAAGATCTGAGGATCGCAGTTCAAAGCCAGCCCGGGCAGGAAAGCCTGTGAGACTCTTTATCTCCAATAAACCACTCAGAAAACCGAAGTGGCGCTGTGGCTCAAGTGGTAGAGCACAAGCCTTGAGCAAAAAGCAAAACAAAACAAAAAACTAAAGGACAGTGCCCAGCCCTTGAGTTCAAGTCCCAAGAATGGCACCAAGAAAAAAAAAGCCTGGTAAATATTGACATGCCAACGCTGGGCCTGGGCACACACATGCTGGGGACATTGTGTCCCAAAGCTGTGTGCTCAGCGTGTTCAGGGTGTCAGCCAGAAGTCGGAAAGTTGCTTGGTTATGAAGGCCGCTGTGGCGGTGATCTGCCTGCTCTAGCCGCTCACCCACGTTCATGGTTTCTAAACAGACTCTGGGGGTCACACCAATAGTGAAACAAATGATCAAGGTAATGCTTACATAGTGAAGTTTGAATTTGACACCTAAGTACAAGGCAGAGGGCAAAGGAACTGGCCAGTGCAGGCCAGGGTCGCAGGGAGCTGCAGGCCTCAGCCATGGTAGGCTGACGATGTTGGGGTCACGGTGGAGGAGGTACCACAGCCCGCTTCTGCCTGCACCTGGTGAGACGTTCCGAACTTGGTTTTGGGACATTCTCTGATGGTTGAAAGTAAATACGCTCTTCAGATTAAAAGCAGGGAAGCAATCCGGGGGAAGGCAGAGCTGCATTCAGGCTGGGAAATGTTTCCCTGTGGCTCACAAAAACAAGAGAAAACACTAGTAAGCGAACCAGTGGAAAGAGATGAAACAAGCCGAGTCCGGCTCTGACCCCTGGGACTGCTGGGACCGCTGAGCTGAGCGGCACCCTCGGGGCTGGGGAACAGGGACTTCTCAACTCTTAACCCAGCTTACTCTGCTGAAGACTAAAATTACACACCGTGAAATGTGCCCATTGGGACGGACAGCTCGATGTGGGTATCACAGCCCTTCCCCTCTGCCACCCCCCCCCCCCCCCACCCCCCCCCCTCCCCCCCCCCCCCCCCCGAATAACTTCCTGGTTCCCCTACCCTACGCGAGCGAGGTGTCTGACTGCCACGGGCATTGTCACGCCCGCATCTGCTGTACTTTTCCTTTCTCTTTACCAACACCTGTGTGGCGCCTCTGAGTCACAGGAAAGATAGGTTGCCCTTCAGAAGACACTTTCCACTGACCAGGCTGCGTGACTGCCCCCAGCAGCCCCTGGTAGGAAGGGTCATCGGTCATTTCCCAGGGACAAGTGGCCTTGTCTGCCATGTCTTTACTAGCCCATTGTGTTTCTTGCCTTATGGAGTATCTTGCCCACTTTCTATTCGCTTCAGTTAATCGGACCAGGAGTTTTCATGTGCACGGGTCCCGCTTCTGTATATAATGCATCTTGGTGAGATTTGGCCTGTCCTCCCCTTCTATCTGGTCTCAGCAAGCCTCATTGTTCTATTTGACTGTACTTGTCCTGTCCCCAGTCAGGAGGCACTCATTTTTGTCAAAGTGCATGCTAGTTGTTTAAAGGGACTTCACATGGAATAGCACACATGCATGTGGCATGCTTTTGTCACATTGATCATGTACACATGACCTTGAATATGTTCACGTATATGTTTATATTTTTGGTCTAGCAGCCACATATAAGAGAAGATGTGACCTTTGTCCTCCTCAACCTAGCTTCTCTTAATATGGTGCCAGATCAGATCCTCCCTTCCCTGCAAATGAATATATTTATCACAGTTTAGTGACCCGCGTACAGTTGCAGGGCCTCTGGGCTGTGACCGTGGCTTGGCTGTGGTAAATTGTGCTGCAGTGTCGGCCCTCTTGCTCAGTTTCTTTGTTCACACCTGGCACTCTACCATTTGAGCCACACCTTCAGCCTAGCTTTTTGCCGGTGAATTAGAGATGGAGTCTTGGACTTTTCTACCTGAGCCAGCTTTGACTCACCGTTCTCTGTCTCGCCCCCTGAGTAGCTAGAATTACATGCCTAGCTCTGTTTTTAGTTTTGGAGGAACCGCCACACCAGTTTCCACAGTGGATCCTTCCCCATCCCCCATCTTCACCGGCACTTGCTACTGTGGTATTGATGATAGCCGTTCTGACTGGAGTAAGAGGGAACCTCAGTGTTGTTTCAGTTTGCATTTCCTTGATGACATTTCTTTCTGTATTTGTACTTTAGAGAAGTGTCTGTTTGGTTCATCTTCCCATTTATTAATTGGTTATCAGTTCTTTGGATTCTTTTTTTTTTTTTTTT